CTTCATTATAATATCTGTTTGTGGTAGAACAAAAGCAATAAGAAGGAATGGACCTTCACCTTATAGCTGGGTAAGTCAAACAGGTAGCAATGCATTTCGAGACCGCACCCAAAACAAAAGCAGAAAATGCAGAAAGAGCTTCGGGAGACTTCACATCGTCACTTTGTTTCCCAATCTTCCCCTTGAGCATTCTGTTTTTCAACTGATCGAATACGGTGTACTGTACAACAATAAGTTACAATAAGAATTTCAACTGAATTTTATCATTCACCTACTGAGTTAACAAATATTAAGGGAAAAAAAAATCTGGACAAGGATGGAATTTGTAGAGAGAGCATGTGTATACCTGTATAGAAGGGTTTGCGGTAAGAAGAAGGGAAATTCCTAAACCATCAAATGCATCACTCCACGAGCCCTCTGAGAGGGATTCCCACAACCCTTTGGATTTTCCAAATTCACTTGTTTGCATCCTTGAAGATGCTGTATCAAGAGGCTGTAAAACTAGAATCATGATACTCGGATAGGCTAAATTGTGCAGGTCAAATTTACTATGTCAACAAAACAACACAATCAAGAGCATGCACCAACTGCCAGTTTCATAACACAGCAATCAACAATGAAAACCTTAAAAAGTAAATAATAGTTTCAATGTACAATAAGCAAAATAGCGTGGCAGTCACAACAGCAGATGGAAATAGAACTTGCCTGAGTGGCGATGGCTGTGCATGCACCAGCAGCAGCAGCAATGACTAAGTTAGCTGCAGTTCTTATAGACTTTGTTTGGCTTTGTCTCAAGTAAAGTCGCTTAAAAAAGCTGTATCCATAAAAGTAGATAAACTGTGAAATGAAAGACTGCAGGTTCTTCGTCCCCAGCCCTTGGTACAGTGATAGTACTTGGCCTTTGGATATCGCTTCCCAAAGGACATCTGAAATATTCCTGTTCAAAATAAGAAAAATTCATCCCATCAGCTTTTCTTCAAACCTTATCTTCACAATAGAAGAAAAGACAGTATTCTTGGCAGAAAAAACGACTTCTTCACATGAATTTGAGAATCGAGAAGAACGAATGGAACATAAGTTTTATATGTTGACATAGTGAACATTACATGATAACATGGAGGTCAGACTCTACAGCAGTAAATAATCAGAACAGTATGCATTTGTTGCTTTGTGCTGAGAAATGACACCAAAATATATGGAACCAAGTAACGAAATTATTTATATTTATTTGTTAAATATGATAAAGGATGTGATTATCTGCTTAGTTGCATAAGTGTAACTCTCTCTGAGTTTCATACAACCACTCACAACACCATGATTAAATATGTATATTTATATTCATAAAGGTCGACGGTTTATCTTTCTTCAATCCTCCCTAAATTTCTATATTCCATTCCTCAGCATTCACATATATTTTGGATGGCCCATAAGAAGTTCAATTTACCAATTCAATTACAGAGTCGTTTCCAGCATAGCTCTAGGGTACTTGATATGACACGAGAAAATGAAATTTTGGAAAAAAAATATGTGAAAAAAGAGTGATGCAATAAAACACACTGTATCATCAGCAGCACGATTCAGAAAAACGTGCAGATTTACTGAACATAAGATGCAAGCTTACTTCCTTTTACTCTCAAAAGAGAAGAAAAAGGAATAAACCTGTATTTTTGGTGATGATGAGCTCGATTTTCAGCTTGGTACTTAGTTTTGCAAGTGTCGAGAGGATACAAAACGGTGGTGCTGACCAGTGCACCCACCGCACCAGATGTCGCCTCCACTAACGACTCCATATCTACCGCCTGGAAGAATTCCAACCTATTCGGACAGCACAGAAAGGAAATAAACAAAAAAATTTAAGAACAAGACACTGGTAATTGATACGACAATGCCCTTACACATTCAGATCACATAATCGGCAGATCAAGTGATCTGGGGACTGAAACCGTAGAAATAACAACAATCATACCTTAATTTCACTGGTGAAGATAACTAGGAACAGATTCCGGCGGGGAGGATGTTGTTTATGATCACCGGCGAGAAGGGCAGTCAAATGATCGCATTGGGATTTGGAAATGAGTATGGGCCATATCGACGGTGTCCTTTGCTTCTCCTTTGATGTGATTTAAGAGATTTAAAATGTAGATATATTTTGTATGTAGATATATCAAAGCATATCTATAAACAACTAATACATAACTCGTGTGATACGGGGCAATAATTATAAATTGCATGGATCAAAGCAATAAAATATTAATAGTATAAAAATAGTTTTGAATATTAATTTTAATAATTTTTATTTTATTTTATATTATATAACAATTTAATATATGATTTATATATTTATTTCACTCGATATAAAATAGTTGTCATTTTAGAATTCCTATTTATGATTAAGAATGATAACAATTTAATATTCATATATTATCAATAAATATTACTCATATAATATCTCTCTCTCTCTCTCTCTCTCTCTCTCTCTCTCTCTCTCCTTACACGTACCTTATTACACTATGTTATGTCGATTTCTAAATAAGTTATGAAAAAGATGAAAAATTGTGTTATTTATTATAACCAACACTTAGTTGAAAAAGGTTGTAATATATATTTTTTTGAAGTTAAAAAGTTATTAATTTTTAATTATCTCAATATTATTTTATTTTACCTTATAATAATTTATATAATAAATATTTTAAATTTTCTTTCTATTCTATTAATTTATATAAAAATTGTTATGATACTGTCAATCAAAATATGAATTTGAAAAAAATGGTTTGCTGCAGTTATTGATAAAATTAAAGGATATTTTTTAACTCATTGAATAGATAATTTTTGGTATATGGCTCATTACCAAATGATCACATGAATTTATTATTAATTTTCAGATATCAATTCTATTTCCGTATTGTAGTAATTGTATCAATAAGATTTTTGCCCAACAAAACAGAAGAACACATGGTTTGTTATTATATAATAAATATTGGTCTTTTATTAAAGATAAATAGTTAAATTTCTTTTGAAATTATAAAAAATTGCATTTACAACTTTTAAAAAAACTGAATCGATTGAGTTATTGATAAATCAAATGATTTTAAAATAATTATCTTGATTAAATGATTTTTTGAAAATACGATAAAAATTATTTTGGTATATGGTTGATTACCAAATGAATATGAAATCACCGTGAATTTTTATTAATGTTGATAATTAAGATTCTATTGCAACATTGTGATAAATATCATAATAAAATTTATAATTGATTTTTAATTTTTGTTTTCTAATTATATTTGCAATTTTACCGTGCATATCAAAATAATATTTTCAAACAACAAAACCTATTTAATAGATGCTTTTCTTGATGACATGTTGTGTGATTGGTTACTAAAAGAATAAGAAATTCCATTGATTCTTAATTAATATAAATAATCAAATTTTTATTGCGATAATTATCACAAAATAATTTATAAAATTGAGGCCAGTTTATTTATATAGAAAGTTGTTGCATTAAGTATTAATCTAATTGCACGATTTACTACAGATAAAAATAATTTAATTTTTATTTTTTTATTTAGAAATATTAAAGTAATTTTTACTATATTTCCTTTAATAGTAAGTCAATCTATTTAATTACAAAGTCAAAATTACTATTTTAGATTATTTCATCAACCTCTTTCAATATATATAAATGGAAACAAATAATGATTTCATTTTACATACATTTATAATGGTAAATGAAGTTTATTATATAGAAAAAAAAAATCATTTGAATTACTTTAAAAAAAATTAATTGAAAATTCACGTTTTGAGATATAGTTTTTAAATTGGCACGTCTATTTTATTTGACAAGTAAAATAGAAAATATAAACATATTTAATTTTAAGTACTTCCATTAAAAATTGTAAATACAAATTATGAGCCGTGAAATATGAAAACTCTTTCCGTGAAACATGAAAACTAATTCGGTTAAATCACATGTTTTTATTATCAAGATTTTCCTTCCATTTAGGAAACAAACAGAAAATACATCCAACCATATTCACAAATTTAAAAAACGCATGTATTTAAAGTAAAATTCAGAATTTCTTTTATTAGAAAGTCAAACAAAGCTGACCCAAAAAAAGTTTCTAGAAGAATAATTACAACAACCTCTTTCAATTATTATAGATATTACAAACAGTATTATTAATATTAATATAGCTTATATGTATTTAGCAATTTTTAGATCATTCCAAAAAAAAATTAAAATAAAAAATTTTTTTATCTACCACAATTAACGTCGTCAAAACTAGCTGATGGGGCGGGTTAGCCCATAGCTCGCCGTGTCAGCCTATTTGTGGGGCGAAGTGGCTCATCATTGCGTTCCAAAGAAATGTGAGTTCCTCCCATAATCTCTTATTTGTTTTAGAGAAATGTTATAGGTACATAATATTATATATAAGAGTGTACATAACACTCACATGTTTAGAAAGGGAGGCTAGAGGTGCAACAGTTTCATTGTGGAATTAGAGGTAGGAATGGGAGTGGGACCGATCAAAAAATAAAAACGAAAAATGCTACAAGTACATAATAAATGTACGTAGAGCTGTACATAACATTCACATTGAGTGAGATCCACTTGATTTTTTATTTTTGGTTGGTCCCACTCAATGTAAGTGTTATGTACATTTTTTGTACAATATTAATTATTATGTACCTATAGCGTTTCTCATAAAAAATCAAGTGGACCTCACTCCATGTGAGTGTTATGTACACCTCTATGTACATTTATTATGTACTTGTAGCATTTTTCTTTGTTTTAATATATACTAGTACAATACCCTTGTATTACGCGTGTGTTTGTTAAGAAATGTATATTTAAAATTTAAAATAATAATAATAAATTGTTTTAATTTTAAAATACTTTTTTGAATAATTGTTTTACTATTTATATTTAGAATAACACACATCACTTATACCGCTCATCTTATGTTATAATATTTTTTTAAAATTATATCATTTAACAATTTTATAGTTAAATTGATTTAAATAATTTTATTTTTTAATTAATATTAATAAATATTTTTATTATACAGATAAATATAATTATTTATTAATTTTGTATGTACAATATAGATGTCATATCACATCTCATCAAGACATGATTAATTTGATATATTATGCATAAAAATTTGATAATAAATAATTTTTTATTAACTTTTAAATCAACTTATAATTTAAGTTAGTATTTTTCATAATTTTAGAAGAAAAGGAAAAAAGAAAGATTGAGGAAAAACATTATGTCTTATTAATCATATATAGAATATGAAACATAATATTAATGCTCTTCAAAATGACCATAAATATCTGGCCTATTTATGGCTATTTCAAACCTAATTATTTTTTAAATGAGAGTTAATTAAAATTCATCCAAGACAAATGGCAAAGCATGAAATTTTGGCACATAAGATCCCGAAACATGAGAATCTGCTTCTTAGGCTTAGCACATTCTGTAATTATATATAAGGGGATTGTACATGTCCAAATTATTTTAAATGGAATACATCAAAAAAATTATTTATTAAAATTTTATTTAAAAATATATTTTAAAAAATAAGCTTTAATATTGGAGTGTCCAAATTATTTAAAATTCTAATTACAATGTTGCCAGTATTAATCAATTCATTACTTTAATCACTTCACATCATCCTCTCTCCTATTTTACATCAAATCAATTTTAATTTTTTTATTTTAAATATTATTTTAATACAACTCAAAATCTCACTTACAATTAACTATACTAACTTTTTTAAAATTAATTCTAGTTAACCTAAAAAATCAAACAAAACGAAGGCAAAACAAAGAAATCTTATATTAAGCATCCCCTTAAGTTGTTTACTTGCTTAATACTAATTTATTTTATCTCATTTTCGTAATTGATAAATCAACCTTCAAACCATATCGTCCCACAGACTGCGCCAATTGATGTGCTCTTGCACCTCGGACCGACCTTCCACTAATACTCGACCGCTTGCTCCCCAGATACCTGCAAAGACGCCAGGAGGTATTCCCGGCGTTAAACCTCCGACGATCAAGTCAGTAAAGGGCTAAAGCTGTATGGAATATTATAGTGTATAAAGTGTGATTAACCTTACGTTCTTCCCTAATTTCACCTATTTCTTACCAAGTTATTAGCTTCTTCCATACACTTTGTTCTTTCTCCACCAAATCCTTTTATTCCTTTTTTTATCCTGACTCTACACGTGTCCTTTGTAGACCATCCCACATAACCGTTCGTACAACTCGACTCTTAGCTTGCAAAGTATCACCATAAGTCAGCCTTTCCTTATAGGAGCTCCCTGCTACACTACACCAAGCTTTAATTGTACCGAGCTCTTATTATGCCTAGCTCTTCTTGTACCGAGCTTCTATTATGCCTAGCTCTTACTACGAACTCCTATCGATCCGACCCCTGCCATCGAGCTAGCTACGGTTGCGGCGAGCTACCATCGTATCAAACTCACAACGCTTCCAAGTTCCACCAACAGCCGAGCTACTCTGATAACAAGCTTTGTCATACTGATGTTAGCACTCGGGCCCCTCAATGCCCGAGCTACTCTAAACCCCTCATACTGATAACAAGCTACCCCCGGTTAATAAGCCTAGCTAGTCCTGTCCGGTTCAATAGGCTACTCTTATGTGCATATCATCATACATAACTGTAACACTTAATTAATTTAACACCAATATAATATAGATAAGGGGCCTAGTCACCATTACCTACACATTTGCTATAATCACATCATAAATTTACACGCGGCTAAATATTTTAAGTTTTAACAACACACGAATTGAAAAACAACAAGATATATCTAACATAGCAGCACTGGAGAACTAACCTAGCAAGAAGATAGCACTAACCTAGCAACAACAAAAAACAAACCCTGCAACATGCTAGAGCTAACATTAAATCGTCAGACAACTAACTTAGCATAGACAACAAAGAAATACATAAACTAGCAACATCAGACAACTAACTTTGCAACAACACACAACTAACATAGCATCAACTAACCCAGCGGGATTAAAGAAATAACCTAGCAACTTCAGACTACAAACCTGGCATTTATAGACGACTAACATAGCATCAATAGACAACTAACC